TCACTAAAACATATTGATTCTGTTGAAATGTGAACAATGCGCTAACTTGTTTTAACGTATATTTCTTCCAATGAGCAGAAATGATTCGAAACATTATTCGCGATTTTCTCAGAAGCAACTGTTGAAACATGGGACTGATATGCGTAGAACGGCAGTATAGTAATGTGAAAGGTACAACAACTACTGAATCAGATACCATAGGAACTTTCATTATACGCATAATTTATGTATTTTATGTTCATGTATTTTAGAAAAAATAAAAAGCAGTTTTTCACTACGCATCATTTCAGATATACCGTCATTTTGTGTATCACAGCAAACAGAAAAGAATGATGCGAGGTTTAAGCAATCTGAAATGTGCTGAAATGATGCGTCGAAAAAAAATTGCTTTGAAAGTTTCTAAAATACATCGAAGTAAATTTAACCATGGGACATTTATACGTATAGCGGCAATCAGCATTATATTATTATTATCATAGAGTCCGTACCTTGACCAATTGTTTGTCTGTGCATGTTTATACAGGATATACGAAAGGCGTATAAAAGCTACTATGTAAGTCACAATAGGGAATGCACTTGCCCCGTTGTTAAATCCATAAAAAAAATAATTAGCATATTAGAATTCAGTAGACCTTCAGTTAATTGTTTTTTTTTTCTAGATAGCCCTTTTAAATACCTTTATTTTATTTTTTTATTATTGAAAATTGGTCTAGTAGTTAACAGGTTATAAATTTTCAAAGTAGGGTATACATATAAGCAAAAATGTCGATTTTGTGGACCACCCTAACTCAGGAAGGTGAACCCTAAGGACGAAATAAAAAAATACGGGTCTACAATTTTTTGATAAGGAACATATATACACTACCAGCATAGACAAATAGACATAACGCATTGAATATCTTTAACTGTCAAACATCGTCGCTAAAACACTAACCTATGGCCAAATTGCCCCACCTACCACTACAGAAAAATCTTCATAACTAACATCAAGACGAATTATGTATTTCTGATTTTATTAAGGGAGCATCCATTAAGCACGTTACGTGAAAGGGAAACCTCCTTCCCGAGAGCGGGACGTACTTAATGGTTAGCCCCTAACATATGAGGTTTAACCCGACACTCCTCCCAGAGGTTTAATTAGATTGTACTAATGAAAACAGGAAAACATATAACAATCACAGTGATTTTAAAAGTGCGTGGAATTAGGAATCGCACTTTTCAAATGCGCAGAATTAAGCACAATTACATAGTAATCAATTTCCGTTTTTTAACACGTTTAGGTCGTAGGTTTTGTGTGTGTATATTTTTCTAATATACTAACAGACAAACAGACATAACACTCGCATCTTGTTCATCGAACACGCGTTTAACGGTCAATTTAATAATATCTTAGTAGGCAGCACCGTCGCCTGTGGCGCGCATAGTCAATTCCCTTGCGTTTGACATTTACACACTACAGCCATCTATTGAGCGTATATGGCCGTGAGAGTGTCCTCAACAGATAGCGTTAGTGTTTAACGACGATGTTTTATAGTGAAAGAGATTCAAAGCGTTATGTCTGTTTGTCTGTGATACTACTATATCAGCACTACCTTTGGGTAAAAAGAGTTCATCGCTAGTATCAATAATATTGTTTTACTACTTAGTTGAATTTTCCTATTTCTAAACTGCGCAGGATTTGGGTGGTTTACGGTAATTATCCGGCATTTCTTTTGTTGGTCATTGTACAGTGTTGGTTATAAGTGGTGTGACTGTATCCTTAGTTCTTGTACGTTTTCAATAAAATTGTGTATATGCATGCCACTATTAGGTCATGGGCGATATTTTTGTTAGTTATAAGAAAGTTTAACATTTTGTATTGCTCTGTTAGGAACACATCAAATAGCTGGATTGGTAGAAAATTTCTCAGCCCAGCAGTATTGTTCACGGTATTGTTACACTACCTTAGAAGACTTCCGGCGTTCTCCACTAAAAAGCTGTCAAATGAGGCATCAAACTACATATGAAAGAGATCTACAGAATTTTTACAGTAGCGGAAATCCGATAAGAGGTGTTAAAAAACCAACGATTTTTAATGAACTCAAACATTTTCAACTATTCGAATACGGAATGCCGCCTTGTTTGGCCCATGATTTGTTTCTTGGATGTTTCAACTATGATATCATGCTAGTATTTCGGCGATTTATCAGGAACAAGCTGGTTGGAGAAAAATATGTACAAAGTAGGCTGAACTATCTTTTGAAAAAGTTTGAGTTGAACTCAAGGATCAACCTTAATTTTAAAAAGAAGTGTGTCACTAGCAAAGCTATAGATATGTGGCATATGATGCAAGTGATACCTTTGTTACTAATCAAGATCAAAAAAGTTCAAGCTGACCCTGCGTTTAAACTCATTATTATGTTGAAAAACATAACTGACTTAATTACAGCTCCTCTGATCTCTGTAAGGCAAGTTGGGATGCTAAAACTCGAGATAAGTCATTACTTAGAAATCAGATCATCTCTTTTTATGACTCTTCTACGGCCTAAACACCACTACCTTGCACATTATCCCCATCTCATCCTTCAGTACGGACCACTTATGCAATTCAGTACTCTAAGCGGTGAACGCAAGCATTCTTACTTCAAAACAGCACTGCGACATGCAGGAAATTACAAAAATATTTTGAAGCTATGTAGCGAAAGACACCAGTATTGGCAAGCGTATTTAAGTACGGATAAGCAAAGATTCAATGAAAAGGTTGTGTACGATGGCATCGTGCGTACCTGTAATGAGTTAGATGAAAATGAAAGACATATAATGGAATCATTTGATTGTTATGCACAACACTACAAATACGTGAATTCAATTATCTACATGGGTACTTGTCTCAAAATTGGACACTGTTTGTTTATGGAGCATGACGACTACGAGGAATCTTTTAATACCATTTCGATAAAAGGAATCGTTCACAATGACATCACCAATGACATTGTTGTATATGGTGAAATAATGAGTGCAACTTATTTTACGGAACTCGGAATCCCAGTTGTTGAGGATGACAATTGTACCAAAACATTGAGCTGTGTGAACGTGAAAGACCTGCCGGACATTACGCCTCTCAAGTTATATACCTGCCAGGGAAATACGTATTTGTTCAATAAACATGCCATTCCTAGAAAATAAGGTAAGTTAGTTCAAATGAACTTAAAATAGACAATAAAAACATCAAATAATTTACACCGTCTCCAACCAAAGGTTGTACACACTGAACACTTAAAATTAGACATCGGACAACACACAAGATCACTTCGTTATTGACTAAAGAAAGTGATAAAGATTCAAATAATAGATGCATACTTCGTCTTCACCTTCTCTCGATCGAACACTCCCAGCTTCTTTCTCAACCCTTCGAATCGGACAGCGTTCAAAGCCTTCGTTAAAGATGTGTTCCAACATAGGGATTGATTCTACCGTCAATTCTCCAGTGGCGACATGATCTCGATCGAAGTGGTGCTTGACCCTCTTGCACTTGACGTTCTTCGCCATTCTGATACACTCCCTCTATTGTCCGCGAACAACGGAACAAGTTTAACATCTTCCAACCCAAGGTCACTAAGGATTCCTGTGCTTCAGCCGCTGCAGAACTCAAATCCACGTGCACTTTTTCAGTAGTGCAAATAAAAATTCCACTATGAAGCATTTTGAATATTACATATTTTTATAAGCATTCAGCGAAAAATATTAATTAGTTTTAACTTGCTAAAACGTCTTGTCTACCGATTCGACAAAAAATTAAAAATCCAAGCCTAATTGAAAATCATACCTACCACAATGTGAAAGTAACAATTAAACCATAAGAAAGAGGAACTAATACCCTTATCAAAAAGATCAAAAATTCGCCTATTTGAAGTAACAAATCTCGCAAAGTTCAAGAATGATTAGCTATGAATCTTGATAATGTCCTCATGTGATCTTCAAAAAATGTATCAGCCCAAGGGCTTAAATTCAAATTTATTCTATAGATCTGTTCCTAGACACGTATTTTTTTTAAAACTTATGGAAAAATATCAAATTCCAGTTGCCTTTTTAAATAATCTGAATTGTGTACAATTATGGACATATCTGAATATTATTGACATTTTATTGCGATATTAAATTTTAAAATAGATCATTTGGTTTTTCAATAGTTATTTTTCGGTTTTCTACATTTAAAATAATATTTCGTAACGTTTTTCTTCAATTGTTTAACCGGGAAATATGTGTTGAGCACTCGGGAATAATCGGAATTTAAATTTCTTAAATTCAGTGTCTAGGGCAGGGCATGTAAAGATCAAAACAATCGTCAACTCTCCACAACACGATATTCTACAATTAAATGTTTTTATAAGTCTTTATTTCATCAATCGTAAACTTGAGCCCAAATTAGCTTGATCTTATTTAGCATGGTTTATGTGAACAAAAAGCATGTGTGTCACAAGTAAAAGAGCGTTTATTAAGATTGTTATTGATAACAATTGTCATATTTTTTACAGTATGAATTCTTCAATGTCTCGTCTTATTCGCATATGCAATGCGCACAGAAGAAAATCATATGTTAAATGTGTTCCTTCAATCGTTAACTTACTAGCAAAAGGTGAGTTTTGCAATTTTATTTTATTTAAACTGAACCGATTTTTTTTTTATGACACGATTTGTCAGCCTCTTTTTTGATTTATTTGTAATCTTCTATGAAAACTTTTTGTGGCCTTATTGAATCAATTTATACCTTAAACATCCATCTAAAAGATGCATGAGAATTATTTAGAATAACGTTAACATTATTGAAAGATAAAAGTAAGATGCATGTTGGCTGACAAAATCAGGTCATTAATCTGTTGAATTTCAAGAAAAGCACAGTGCAATGATTTTATGTTTCCATTAGTTTATCAACAAACACTTTTTACTCTTGCAGGTCGATCACATTTTCAAAAAGATTTTACCAAGGTCGTTTTGGAAGTAGACGGATCCATGATCGTCGAGGACGAGGTTCTAGATTTATTATCATCAGAGGGATTAAGCTTTATGCTATTAGAAAATTCTGAAGAATGGACGCTAGCCGAAAGCAACCTTACTTTCAGCATTGGTAACAATGACCAATTTAACACGCAGCAAACACAGGTAAGGATTTTAAATGTAATATACGCACAGACAAACAGACATAACACATTGAATAATTCTCACTGTAAAATATCGTCGCTAAAACATTACCGCCATCTGTTGAGCACACTGTGGTGGGTAGTACACTGAACAGATGGCGGTAGTGTGTAAACGTCAAATGCAACGGAATTGACTATGCGCGCCACAGGTGGCGGTACTACCAACTGCGATACTTTTAAATTGTCCGTTAAATGCTTGTTCGATGAACAACTTACGAGTGTTATGTCTGTTTGTCTGTGTTATACGTATAATAAAAGGGGCAAGACGGCTCTTAATCACAAGTAATTAAGCCGAGAAAATCGCGTTTTAAGTTTGCTTCGTACCGTTGCTTCTTAGGGATGGTCCATTAATTATGTCACGCAAATTTGGTCCATTTTCAAAACCCCCCCTCACTCCCCCCTTTGTCACATTTTTTGTATGGACCTTAATTTTTTTTTTGCATGGCTCGTCACAGTTTTCAAAACCCCCCTCCCCCCTAAATGTGTGACATAATTGATGGACGACAGCTTATGTGATAGGACAACCAATTTGCCTGTCTTTCAAACTTTTTCAGAACAAAGTTGTTGAGTTAATCTAGTATTATGAAAATATGTGTGATTAGCGCTACCACATGCATTTAAAAACTCAGTTTTGACAAAAACGACTATGGGACCCACATTCGAACTTTGTATAAAACTTTTCCCGCAAATTTCAAGGCAATTTAAGTGCAAACGCATTACCCAAAAAATACCCCTAAAACCAGTTCTTACGAATTTTTGAATGGATAATGGATGTATTTGGCCTAATATCATATTTTGGCCCACCATTTTAACTCATAAAATTTATAAAATTTTAGAATATTGTGAAAGTAACATTAAAATTATTACACTACTAAGCGTCTTAGATTTTTGTTTTCAGTAAAAACGTTTCATTTATGATTTAGCGGTAGTAAATTGAAAATATACTCACGCATTTTCACATTCGTGCTGAATCGGTCCAAAGTCAAAGTGGCATAATTGTACCCACCTTTCAAGAGTTTTGTAAAAATGTATACATTTTAAATGTATAAATGGGGTTATTGCGTCATTTAGATTCGATTGAAACCGTTGCTCAGAGAAGCGTCTTTTTTTCTTTGATTTGTTTTCCGTCGATCTGTTTTCCGTACTGAATATGAATGCTACCGATGCCAGGTAGGCAGCTCCCACACCTGGACCCTACCTATCGACCCATCAACCCAGGGACCGGGTACCAGCGGCTTTACTTCGTGATCAGGTAACAGGGATACCTCAGAAAATACGGAGGCGCCGACTGGGATTGAATCCAGGCCTTTTGGGGTGAGAGGCAATCACATTTACCACTACACCACATATTTTCGGAGTGTTATATGGTTTATTGGTGGTCCAAAATAAAATGTATTGGTCCACATGTTCTGCTTACTTGTTTGTCAAATTGCGTTGTGCAACGATTTCCTTTGGCAGAAAACATTCAGCTCTTTGTAATGACCTGATAAATTTACCATTTATTTTAACAAAATCATATTTTTTTTTAAATTTATACTGACTTCCTAAAGCGGACCAAACCTCCGTTACCCTATCATTCGCTCGGTGGGAGCTTTCTCGTTGGGTTGCTTTCTAGTTCGGTAGTGAGATCGGGGTGACGTCCCAACTAAAAATCAGTTATCTCGTCAGTAAATGTTGTTGAAGTAGCCTTGATATTTCATTGTTGTTACTTGGTAGAGATCTTGGGAGCTGTTCTGTATGAAAAATTACAGTTTAATAGTTTAAATACTATCCTCACTATTGAATTGCATTCATTAGATGGGATGAGGGTGCTTTCCAATCAGTAAATGATGACTAAAATAGAAAGAAAAAAATGATTGCGCAATTTTACACATCAGGTATTTATATTTTTAATCTTTAAATCCACATTAGAACTATATCACTTATTGACCTTATTTGTTGGGTGGCATCAATCTTCATAATAATTATATTGAACATTTTTTCTCTCTCTCATTATATATTTTCAGATTTCTCAAGAGCTACTCAATTGTCAACCACCAAGTGCCATCAATTCTGCACTATTATCTATTGAATATGGCAATTGTGATATTGTCAATGCCAGTGTATCAAATCTTTCAACTAAAGAAGACCCTCTGGCAGTACCGAGCACATCAAGGTTAGAGAAACGAAAACTATCTTTGGACGATAGTGCACATCTGACTCACAAACGCATTGCGAATCTGTCTACAGATCAATACTCGAGTATCCTGTCAATCGCTTCAACTTGTACCACGCGCGAAGAAGCATACTGTTCTAATATCTATGTAAATGATTCGCAACTATCCGTGCAAGACGACACGCTGTCTGTATCCGTCACCTCAGGAGTGGAAGAAAATTCATCGTCACAAGGGGTTGACGACACTGCTGCTACACCTGATCCTAACACCCTCAGCCAAAAGTGTACGGCACAAGTTCCAGTCGCTCCTAAAAATAATGACCTTCCTACGTCAGTTAAATTGGCCAAATTCGAAGTCGACTGGAAAATAATTCCAAACGACGTAATGCATCAGCTGCAAGGCCGTCAACCTAACGTTGGATACAGGGGAATATCGGAAACAAACTATAACCGATTTGTTGACCACGTAACTGCTCAAATAAGGACCACAAGTTCAAAGATTCCGTTCTTTGTCTTTAGAAGAGTTGCTCTAAAGATCATCAACAAATATCCCACACTCCGAGATTGCGATGACGAAGGACATACCATAGGTGACGGGTCTAATAGTTTAGCTGACAAACTACGCAATCATAATGCTTATTTAAACAGAGCCCATCGAAGTGAAGTACATACCACACGTCGCAAGGTTTGCTTCAATCGTCGATGTACAGTGGGTGTACGCCCAGAATACTTCAAATCCGGTACAAATCATTGTAGTAAAGACCTTTTAATTGTGCTTACAAGAAAACGAGTTGACAACTTGAACGAAGATGCTTTGATTGGCACAGAAGCATTCATTCGCCATAAAATTGACAGTTCTATCAATCTACACACGCTGCATCAGGAATTGCCATCGATTGGTAGGAACGAGGTTCTAAACTACCATTTCTATAGAGCCACTGGGTGTAGTGCTGAAGCATTCAGTACTAATTTCGCGAAAAAAAGAGCAAAATTAATCGAAGTGTCGAAGTCTTACAAGCGACCGCTGCATATTCCATCTAAAGCATCTGATTTTGAAGTACTTGAAGGCGTTTCAAGATTGCTTGGGGAAAATGTTTCATCGTTAATTCACGAAATTGAGGTAAATGAATATATTTGTCATATGTTGCCTGCCGTTTATAGATACACTTCTATCTCTTTTTACGACACTTTTTTGGATGCTATTTTTGATCGTGTGATCTCAATTTTCAACTAAATTCAATGCAACTAGTTTCAAAAAATTCAAAGAAAAATCAGATGGGGTCATGCTTTAATTATGTCACGTGAAATTTAGTAAATATTAACCCCGACCCCCCTCCCCCCTCTTCTCTTCATCAAGTTTTTCCTATACCCAATATATTGCTTGTCACACATTTCTTCGCCCCGCTCCCATTTAGAGCGTGACATAATTTGTGAATCACTCTTTTCAAACATGCTTGTATCTGATTGTTTTTTTTATACAGTAAAAATCCAACATTGCTACATTTGCACGAACCGCGTAAATGGAGGGATTCTTGCACTATTGTTCACTCGCATGGCCCTTTGACCTTTCGTTGTCAGTGCACAAACTAATATCTTTTGAATTGTTTTTTTTTTTTGCAATACTTACACAGGATATCCATGAGATGCAGTCAACTGATAACTTCCCTTCAATTGTGTTCCTTGGTAAGTTAATTCGGATTAGTTTAGTTATTGGTTAAAGTCAAGGTAAGTAGAAGGGAGGTAGTCCGATCTGGTTAGTCAGTGGGTGTGGGGAGCGCAGGGAAACATGCTGCGTGGGGGCGGGAAAATGACAGCTGGCTGACACGGTCAAAAAGAGTTACTCACAAAAGCAACTTATCGATAAAAAACGTTAATTTTTGCTTACAATAGGCTCTTTTTTAATAACAATATACTACAAATATAGTAAACGTTTGCTAAATGTTAGGTAATCGATAATTATCGATAATTTCAGTATGTGTAAATTTTAAGATTATTAGGGATGTGCATTTTAGCGTGAAAGTAACTCGCCAGCTGTCGAAGTCTGGGGTGGGACGTGCTGTCAAATCAGCCTACTGATCATTCTTGTATGAAATTGGTTCCAAACGTAAACAAACCCTGTAGATTTCTTATGGCTTGTTTACGTTTGGAACCAGTTATGCGAGGTAGGCGAAGATTGTTCGTATTTGACAGTCACCTCCCCCCCTTGGTCGTAGTGCATTCCAATATGGCAGAATGCATAATCTGACAGATTGGAGTACCTCCCTTATACTTACCTTGGTTAAAGTGTTAATATAGCATATTGTGCACATTGACGGAAAGTGCGAAAACGCTAATAAAAGTGCGCGTTTACGTAAAAATTGTTTTGTTGTCTTCGGCCCACTTTTTCCTTGGATCATAACGAAAACAGCTTGGCCAGTGAACCGGAAAAACTGAGAAATAACCGGGAATTTGAAAAGTAACCCGGAAAAATCCGGGAATTCTATGAGAGAACCGGGATGAATCACAAAAACTTTAACATGCATTTATTTAAAGTGTATAGATTATTTTTTTTTGTAAAAGTTTTTCATTGACGATAGACTTTCACTATGTTTGTACAAACTATTCATAAAGTTTATGAAAATTAAACTAAAGTAGTAATCAATGATTTCTGGATCATGTAGATTTCACCACAGATAAACAGACATAACACTCGCAAGTTGTTCATCAAACAAGCATTTAACGGTAAATTTAAAAGTATCGTAGTTGGTAGTACCGCCACCTGCGGCACGCATAGTCAATTCCCTTGCGTTTGACGTTTACACACTACCGCCATCTGTACTGCGTACTACCCACCATAGTGTACTCAAAAGATGGCGGTAATGTTTTAGCGACGATGTTTTACAGTGAGAAATATTCAATGTGTTATGTCTGTTTGTCTGTGATTTCACCTCTATTACTTTTTGTATTACTTTTCTCTCAATTATTGGTACACATTTTTTTTTAATTTTCCGTAATTTTTATCTCAAACTTCTAAGAGATGAATGAATATGTAATGTTGGACGTCCCTGATACCACTAACCTGCATAAAATTTAAAATCTAACAGAAATTGGTTCATAATTTGTTTTGACTCACCAAAAGTTTTTAAATTTTTAGTAACGTAATTTTTCTACATCAATGGAAATATGTCGATAGGCTTATGCAAATTCCATAATAATAATGGGGCAAAAGAAAATGCCCAATTTAGAATTGAAATTTCCTCTGCGATTTTTCATAAAATTACAAAAACATTTTTTTATTATTAATATATTATTTTTTTCATTATTTAATTAAATAATTTTTTTTTTTTCGTCCATTGTTATTTATTTTGTCATAAAAAATAACAAGACTGGGATCTCGAAAAAAAATCTATCGCCGAGACCCGCACATTTTTTCAAAGTCTCAGAGTTATGGAAATTTTTCGAAGTCCCTAAAACTACGATATCTTGAGAATTGTTTATAGTTCGAGATCTCGAATTATCTCTCTGATTCTTAATTTTCCAAGTTCAAGATCTCTCAATCAATTTCGATGTCCAATGTTTAAATTCCCGAAATGGGTTCAAATGACCCATTCGATTCAAACCAATATCAATTTTCCTTAAGCAACTAATTGACAGTTTGGGGTGATTTGTTTACAAAATTTGAGGTTAGAATTTGAAAGTGCACTTGCCAATTAAGTTGAAACATATTTTTTGAAAAAAAAAAATAAGTGGTCCTTACACTTACACTTATTAATAAAGAAGTTATACTTTCAATTTCATAAAATGCTTGCTGCAGTCTTGCTACTGAAAATAATTTTCTCATGACCTAAAAAATTTGCACATGGTTGCGGTTTTGAAAAAACAACACTTTCGTTTTTCGTTGAATATTAATATTCAATTTGGAAAATTTTGTGATTTGAACCTGGAAAACCGAGAATTTCAAAATTGATTTTAACTGGCCACCCTGTGAAAAAATGCGCAGAAAAAAACCAAGACGATGAGCGATTTTGCAGGTTTTAGGAGTCTAGTTAGAAATGCAAAATACAATAATTGATTTCATTAATTTTTCAGATCAGACCGACAATGGGCAAAAGTTTTTTATTCAGGCCGAAAACACACTATTGACCTTAGGCGTCAATAATATCATTCATGCGTTCCAGCAGCTTTTGGCTGTATATTTTGTGTATTTCTACAAATATCCTAAAGATGTATCCAAAACACTAGAATTTCTCCAAATGTTCCTTTTGAAGCTGTATCCAGAAAATGGCACGCGCTCAACGGCCACTATTGTTGGAAGACATCAGCGTATGGTGACTTCATTAATATCAAAAATATCAAAATTGGATTGGAGAAAACAACAGACCGAAAATAAGAACTAGTCCAGCCTACTCAAATGCCATTGCTTCCAAAATTAAAAAGCATTTTACCCACATCCAAAAACCGAAAAGCATTTTGCACACATCATGTTTTCGATGAGAGAGAAAAGTCTTCATTCACGTAAAACGTCATTTAATCGGAATATATATCTTGGCGAACGTCCTAACGTTGATTTAAAATGGTATATCTCTCCGCAAAACCAGGAAACAAATATCGAACGTTGCTTTCCGTGGTGAGTGTTTTTTCGTTTGCTGTTTTTGTTATAAGAATTATTTAATCAGATATTCTCTATTCAAACTATTATACTATAGCAAAACTATCTGCAAGTTTAATCAGAAAACCTTCATTTGACCGGGATGCGTCAGGGAAAGATAAAAAATATCGCCAATAGCCGAATGATCCTGGGTTTCTACCACCCTATGGTCCTCCCTTGAACCAAAATGCCGGAGAAAGTCCAACCAGGTAGCTGTATCTTCTACGTGACAGCAGGAATGTTGATTGTCCATGGTGACGGAAGGATCGTGGGTTTCTACCACCCGGTGGACCGCGTTTCAGCCTGACGGAGAACTATACGCAGTCGTAATTTTTTGGCCAACCCTGTGCAGTACTCCACGCATTTCCAGAGGAAGCCGCAACCTGTAAGTTGAAATAATTTTTACAAATTTTAGTTGATTTATTGACGATTCCGTTTTTATCTTTGCAGAACATCCGCGACGAGATTTCTTGCCTTCAACCAGACGGTTAACTAGGCAGAGACGCCATGCTTTCTGGGAACCCTCAATGCCGACCAATACTGTAAGTGCTTCACGCAGTGCCGGAGGAAGTCCATTCAGCTAGCAGTACCTTCAACGTGACCCGAATTCAGTAGGAATGCTGATTGTCCATGGTTCATGGCTCCTACCACCCAATTCCTGCCCTTCAACACAGCGGAGACTAGTCGTTATGCTTTCTGGAAGTCTTTCATGCCGACCAACACTGCGCAGTACTCCACGTAGTACCAGATGAAGCCGTAATCTGTAAGTTCTAATATGTTTTTCTTTATATTTTAGTTCTCAAGTAACATTTGAAAACGGCGTTAACAAACTTTAGTGGACCCTTTACTTGTCACCCGAAGTACGCCCATGCAAACCAAAAACACTATTGGGTGGGACAAATTCTCCCCTTCCTAATGATATTGTTGGTTTACGTGGGCGTACCTCGGGTGGCGAGTAAAGGGTCCACAAAAGTTTGTTTATAAATGATTATGTGCCGTTTTCAAATGTTAGGTCTCAGTTGATTTATTGCCGATTTCGCTTTTATCTTTTCAGAACATCTGCGACGAGATGTCTTGCCTTCTTCAACCAGACGGTGAACTGGGTGAACTAGGAAGAGACGCCATGCTTTCTGGGAGCCCTCCATGCTGACTAACACTGACAGTGCTCTACGCAGTCCCGGAGGAAGTCCATTCAGATGGCTGTACCAAATAATTGTTAATTGTCCATGGTCCATGGCTCCTACCAGCCGGTGGTCCACCCTTCAACCCGGCGGACAACTCGACGTAAAAATCCGTCCTCTGCTGCCGTGTTTGGTGCGAATGAATTTTACTGCCGCCGCTAAAGGACAGATAAATATATTGAATACAATTTTTATTAGGTATTTGTTCTTTTTTCCTTCGAAAACAAACATCTTTTTGCAACGCCGTTGAATCCTACTCAGTTGCTCATTAAATTGCATTGCTATCTCTTTTCTTACGCATATTTTACTCTGCTGTAAAAACTGCGATTATTTGTAGCTCTGAGTAACTGCAGTTTTTACAACTGATTAAAATTTATGTGAGAAAAAAGATAACAAAGCAATTTAATCAGCCACGTATACCTATACATCGTTTCTTCTTTACATCGCATCACTTTTACATCGCATCACTATTACATCGCATCACTATTATATCGCTTCGTTTACATCGCATCTGTGTACATCACATTTATTACGTCAGAAAAATTACATCGGTTTTGTGTGTCACATCATTTGATTCTGTGTACATCGTACAATGTGATATTACACAACCGATGGATTGATCTGGTTGCAGCAGTTTCGATGTAATATTCAACAACTTTTTTTGCTGTGCACGTTTTCGTTGACGCAAGCCCTGCGGCGTATTGCTGCGTCGTGTATCTACGCGTGATGGATTCTGAGGGTAACGGACAGTGTTCTTTAGTGGCAGCAAAGGCGAAGGTGGCTCCTCTGAAGCCAATGTCCATTCCCAGGCTTGAGCTACAAGGGTGCGTACTTGGAACACGGATGTTGAAATTTGTTCAGGAAAACCACACCATCCCGATCACGAAGCGTTATCTGTGGACGGACAACACTACGGCGCTTTCTTGGATCAGGTCGGATCCACGCAACTACCGCCCCTTCGTTGCCCACAGAGTAGGAGAAATTCTGGAGACTACCAGCGTAGATGAATGGAGATACGTTCCATCGTTGTCCAACCCGGCTGACGAGGGGACTAAGTGGGGCAAAGGACCGTATTTCAGCACCGATAGCCGCTGGTTTGCTGGACCACAGTTTCTGAGGTACCCGGAAGACGACTGGCCAACTCCACCAGAGTTATCTTCCATCGAGACTGAGGAGATACGTCCTTCTGTTCTTTTCCACTTTCCGTATGAGCCAGTCATTCAGTTTGAAAGGTTCCCGAAGTGGGAGAGGCTACATCGCACGGTAGCTTATGTGCTACGTTTCATGAACAACATCAACGGAAAGCGGCGCAAAATGTGTGGCGAATTGCAACAAGAGGAGCTCCAGGCAGCGGAAGCGGTGATCATGAAGCAGGTGCAGTGGCAAGTGTTTCCGGACGAGATGACAATTCTCACGAAGAACAAGTCTGCTGCGGAAGGTGAAGCACAACCGATCCCGAAAAGCAGTTCGCTGTATCAACTAGTACCGGCGTTGGACGAAGACGGAGTAATGCGACAGAGCGGACGCATCGGAGCAGCAAAACATGCATCGTACAATCTGCGGCATCCAGTGATTCTTCCCCGAAAGAGTGAAGTGACTACGCTCGTGGTGGATGAGTACCACCGGAAGTATAAACATGCCAACCCGGAAACTGTAGTCAATGAAATCCGTCAGCATTTTGAAATCCCTCGATTGCGAACAGTGGTGCGAAGGTGCAGCCGTGAGTGTAGGTACTGCATACTTCGCCGAGCGCGGCCGTACATCCCTCCGATGGCTCCACTTCCAGCGGCCCGTCTTGCAGCCTGCAGCCGTCCATTTAGTTTCGTCGGATTGGATTATTTCGGTCCGTTGTTGGTGAAGCAAGGAAGAGCGAGCGTGAAGAGGTGGATCGCACTTTTCACTTGTCTGACCGTGCGCGCGGTCCATCTGGAAGTTGTGCACAGCCTGACGACTTCATCATGCGTTTCCGCCGTCCGAAGGTTCATCGGCCGTCGCGGAGCACCAGTAGAATTCTACAGCGAAAACGGGACCAATTTTCAAGGCGCCGAACGACTTCTGCGGGAACAAATTGAGCAGGGACTATCCGCCACCTTCACCAGCTCGAAGTGCAAATGGCTCTTCATTCCGCCAGGTGCTCCACACATGGGCGGTGCCTGGGAAAGGATGGTCCAGTCAGTGAAAGCCGCGATGGGTGAAGCTTACGGGGATGGGAAACTTGACGAGGAAGGACTTGGGACTTTGGTTGTGGAGGCTGAGAGCGTAGTCAATGCTAGGCCTTTGACGTATCTGCCGTTAGACTCGGAGGAATCTGAGGCACTAACACCGAACCATTTCTTGCTCGGGAGTTCGAGCGGTATCAAGGAACCGGGCCGGGACATTCGCTACCAGCAGCGGAACCTTCAGAAGACGTGGGTAGAGATACAACAGCAACTGGACATCTTCTGGAAACGGTGGCTTAAAGAATATCTGCCAGTTATTCGCCGGCAACCGAAGTGGTTCGAAGAAGCTGCGAGAGAGATCAAGGATGGTGACTTGGTTCTCATTACCGATGACGGCAGACGAAGCGAGTGGACCAGAGGACGTGTGGAGCAAGCTATTAGAGGACCTGATGGAAGAGTGCGTCAAGCTATCGTGCGGACTAAGGGAGGTAGTGTACGAAGACCGGTTACCAAGATCGCCTTGCTGGATGTTGGAGAAACCCGTGCAGTCTTGGCCGATGGCAAGATGCACCCGGCGGAGGATGTTGCCGCAAGTCTACCAATTTACCACAGGGGTGGTGAATCTGGTAACCCGGTCGCTGAAGGCGACGCGTCCAACAGAAACGTCACCCGCTGTCACCGATGATCAACCGAGCTCAGGACGGTCGAGCTGTCAAACGAAAACCCTGCACGACCTCGGATGACTACGGCGTTTTAGTGGAGTGATATTTGTATTTAATTAGTTGAATTTCCTATTAACCTTAAATCTATTTTTCCGTGGATTAAAGCTATATACATATTGCTAACCATAAAAGCACTAAATTGTAAGTTACTTGTCCTAAATCTACCATTTCTGTTCTAATTAATCCTATTAATTGTAGCTTTGAAGCTGATAAAAATATAGCTCTCGAAAATTAGTGCAAGGGGGTTTTATTACGGCAACAATATATATAAATACATATATATATATATTTCCTTTTTTATGTCGAAATCTGTTGCGGAGGTACTTAATACCCCGCAATGGACGAAACCAATGATGGCGGGGGTATTTCGCTAGCAGATATCTCCGATGATGAGTCTGTTAAATCTCCATCATTCGAAAATCTGCTTCTCACTGAAGAGGAAATGGATACCTCAGGGGATTCTACTTCGGACCCCAAAACGAGCACTGGAGCTTACCCAAAGGTGATTTCTAAACAACAACCTCCTTCACCCCCTGCCCCCCCTTCTCCACCATCGCCCCCTCGTCCACCTGTTCCCCCTACTCCAACCGTTCCCTTAAAAATTTCTGCGACCCCCCGCCATAAAGCTTACCCAAGCGACTCAAAAGGTCCGTGGGTTGTTTTTTTCCGGCCCAAACAAAAACCTTTGAATATTTCTCGGATTTCGAAGGATCTGACAAAACATTTTTCGGCCGTAACCGATATCTTTAAGGTAACGTCAAACAAACTGCGCGTTACCGTTGATGACCTGAAACAGGCAAACCGGTTTGTTGCCTGTGAGCTTTTTTCGATCGAATATCGAGTCTACGTCCCCAGTTGTGACGTAAAAATTGAAGGAGTGGTCACCGATTCGAGTCTGACTTGTGAGGATTTCCTGCAAGTCGAATCTTTCGGCATTTTCAAAAACCGTGCCCTCCCGAAAGTCAAGATACTGGACTGCATTCAACTGCAGTCAGTGTCGCACATAGGCACAAAAAAAAAGTATACCCTCTCAGATTCGTTTCGTGTGACCTTTTCAGGATCGGCATTACCTGACTACGTCACAATTGGGAAGGTTCGACTACCTGTACGCTTGTTTGTACCAAGGGTAATGAATTGCTTGAAATGCAAACAACTAGGTCACACCGCGGACTTTTGTTCCAACAAACCGCGGTGCGATCAATGTGGGGAGGAGCATACGGAGGGTCCTTGTCATGCTACCCCAAAATGCGTTTACTGTAAGGATGCTCCGCATGCTCTGAGTGATTGCCCGAAGTACAAACAGCAGGGAGAAAAACTAAAGCGGTCTTTGCAAGCTCGATCTAAGCGCTCGTTAGCAGAAATTTTAAAAACGACCGCTTCATCTTCCCAAACCACCCCAAAAAGCAACAACACATTCCACCTCCTGCCAGATGATGATCAGGGCTCTGACTCAGAGGTGGGTGAGAGTAGTCCTTTTGTCTTTAATGGCAACACGAGGAAGCGGTCCAAAATAAACGTCACCCAAAAACCTCGTAAGGCCTCTCGTATGGACTACCAACCTACCTTGACAAATTTAAGAGGTAGCGGAAATGTACCGAAACCCCCACCACCGGGATTTAAATCTTGTAATTTTAACAAGGACTTTCCGCCACTTCCGGGATCATCAAAAACCCCAGATATCCCAGTTTTTCAGCCAGAAAAACAGCTAAATAATCAGCAAGAACATGATGCCATGTTCACGTTTTCTGAAATTGTGGAGAGCATCTTCAATATATTCAACGTTTCTGACTCAACTCGGAACATTATTAATTTAGTGCTTCCATTCGTGAAAACTCTTTTGAAGCAACTAGCTTCTAGGTGGTCCTTCCTTGCATCGATCATATCCTTTGATGGATAATTTTCCGAATGAGGTCGGGGATATGATCTCTGTTCTTCAGTGGAACTGTAGAAGTCTTATACCGAAACTTGACACATTCAAATTTTTAGTTCACAACTCACTTTGTGATGCATTTGCTCTTTGTGAAACATGGCTTTCTTCAGACACCGATCTCCCTTTCCACGATTTTAACATTATTCGCCTTGATAGAGCAGATTCGTATGGAGGGGTGCTTCTCGGGATTCATAAGCTCCATTCCTTTCATAGAATCGATCTGCCTTCCGTGACAGGCATTGAAGTTGTCGCATGTCAGGTAAATATTCGAGGTTAAAGCCTCAGTATTGCCTCAGTATATCTTCCTCCAAGAACTGCGATTTCTCGCCAAGTTCTCTCAGATATCTGCTCAGCTTTATCTGAGCCTCGGTTGATATTAGGAGATTTTAACTCCCACGGTACAGGCTGGGGGGAACTGTACGATGACAACCGCTCAACCCTGCACGCAGAAAAAAATATTTTAAACGTAATAATATTTGACGTAAAATCAATAAGAATTTCATTTTGTTTTGGCTGCAAAAAGAAATCATTATTGTTTCAACAATCCAGTATAGTTGTTCCTCAAAACCCATGGATTGTTAAATCAAAAAGAAAATCTTTTCGAATTTACAAGAGCTTTCATGGTTTTGACGTATGCTGTCAAATTTGGCAGCTGGGTCAACAACAAAAATATGTTTGTTTTTGAAAGAGATTTCTTGTAGATTCAATCATATTTATTTTATGAAGTCTGACAATTCACACAGTAGAAATAAAAATATGTTTATTGAATCAAAAATCCGGAGTGATTTGAGATTTGGGCGTAATTGCTTTTGTAAACAAACACGTCAATTGCTGATTTCTCTTGAATAAAAGCTCAATCTCACAAACAAACTATACCAAATGATAGAGGAATCATTTCTCTACCTCAAAGTGTAATTACTTTTCGAGATTGAGCTTTTATTTGTGAGGAATCGGTGATTGACGTGTTTGTTTACAAATGCAATTACGCCCAAATCTTAAATCACTCCGGAAATAATATGGCCAATTGTTTTTTATTTTTTGTTTTCTTTTTCACTGATCACGGAAGTAAAGCCGTTGGTCCCCGGTTCATTAGTTGATGGGTCGATACGTAGGGTCCAGCGGTCGCATTGCGCATCTCGAAACGAAAAACTTTTTCATACAAGCGTTCGTGCAAAAAGTGTCTTTCGTTTCGAGATGCGCAATGTGCCACCAGGTGTGGGAGCTGCCTTCCTGGCGTCGGGAGCATTGGTACTCAGTACGGAAAACAAGATCGACGGAAAAAATGAAGGAAAAAAACAGAAAATTTATTATATTTAGCAACTGCAGCTCGAACTGCAGCATACTTATAAGTATACTTACCTCAAGTCTCAAGATTTTCGGAAATTTTGTTATTGTTTACATTTTTGTCCGGGTGAAAACGAGGGAATGATTGGTAGTTATTTTTGCATTCATGGCCCGGGGAATGGACACAGCAAATAAATGCTAAATTAAAATGAACTATTGTTGGATTAATAATAGAATATAGGGGAAATGGCTCTAATGTTGGCCTATGGATCTAAGATTGGGCCCATCGCTAAAAATCTGCTATTTATCAATTGTATCTAGATGAACGCGTCATTGGGACGGTACTAATGGATATTTTTGGTTGCTATTGAAAATTTTGTCGATTGCTGAATTTATGTATGGGCCCAAATTAGGGACACTTAGGCCGACATTACATACATTTCCCCTAGTTATTTTTACAATAGTTGCAGTTGAAAAGTGGCTTATTAAAACAAAAAGAATCCTATTTTGAATTTATATGAATAAGTATTATTGAAACAACAAAATGCAATATAATTTCAACCGGAATTGTTTGTTTAAATACAACTAAAGTTTTGTTTGGTTCAATGCAAACAATTTTCTGTCCGTGGATATACGACCTTTGCGATAACTTCAATATGACAATTCTAAACACTGGGGAAGTAACACGAGTGGCCAAACCTCCAGCAAGAGAAAGTAGATTAGACCTCTCCCTCAGTTCGAGTTCACTATCGTTGGATTGCTCGTGGAAAGTAATTCAAGATCCCTACGGTAGTGACCACTTGCCAATCAAAATTTCTATTACCAATGGTTCATCTTCCACTCGCTCGGTTAACATCGCGTACGACCTCACGAAAAACATCGACTGGCAAAAATTTGCGTCCGCGGTTCTCGGTGGTACTGATTCGGTTGACATACTCCCTCCGCTGGATGAGTACTCCTTTTTATCGCGACTTATCGTTGACTGCGCTCTTCAAGCACAGACGAAACGCGTTCCGGGTGTTTTCGTTCGCAAACGACCTCTCACTCCGTGGTGGGATAAGGATTGCACCGACGCGAACAGCGAGAAGTCCGCCGCGTTTAAACGCTTCCGCAAACACGGTAAGGTCGAGGATTTCGAGCGGTACACCGACCTCGAGAAAACTTTTAAGAGCTTGATTAAAGCCAAAAAACGCGGTTACTGGCGTCGGTTCGTCGATGGTTTGTCGAGAGAAACTTCGATGAGAACACTCTGGAATGTCGGCAGGAGAATGCGCAACGCGTCATCACCGGTCAACGAAGACAAGGAGTACTCAGACAGTTGGATATTCAGCTTCGCGCAGAAAGTTTGCCCGGATTCGGTGTCGGTTCAAACCAACGTTCGTGATAGTCCGTCGGGTAGTAACGAAATAGATTCTCCGTTTTCGATGGTGGAATTCTCACTTGCTCTCCTCTCATGTAACAACTCAGCTCCAGGAATGGATAGAATCAAGTTCAACTTGCTCAAAAATCTCCCAGACGTCGCGAAGAGACGCTTGTTGAACTTATTCAATCAATTTCTGGAGCACAACATTGTTCCGGATGATTGGAGGCAAGTAAGAGTTATCGCCATTCGAAAACCCGGTAAACCCGCGTCGGATTATAACTCGTACCGTCCCATCGCGATGCTGTCCTGTATACGGAAATTGTTGGAGAAGATGATTCTTTTTCGTCTAGACAAATGGGTCGAGTCGAATGGTTTACTTTCAGATA